AACGAGTTTTTAATGCTGACAGAAGTGCCCTATTCTGGGAAAAAAAAGCCACAGAAGACATTTATTAGTAAGGAAGAGAAGTGTGCACCAGGAATTAAGGCTAGGAAGGGATAGACTACCTCTATTGTTTTGTGCAAATGCAGTCAAGTTTATAATCAGGACTGTCCTTATCTATAATGCTGCTAATCCCCCAGCCTTGGAGGGAAAAGATAAACAGCAACTGCTAGTCTTTTCCTTGTATAACAAGAAGACTAGATAGTGGGAACCCTTTTTCTGGATTGGCTCCATTGATGCTTGTTCCCAAAGTCAGGAAGTACCTGACCAGTAAGAGACTGCCTTTTAAAGTTTTTTTTGAAGCTAGGTGCAGTGCTTCACGCCTGTATCTCAGCACTTTGGGGGGCCGAGACGGGTAGATCACTTGAGGTCAGGAGTTCAAGACCAGCCTGGCCGACATGGTGATGCCCCATCTCTACTAGTACAAAAATTAGCCAGGCATGGTGGTGCATGCCTATAATCCTGGCTACTCAGGAGGCTGAGGCAGGAGAATCGCTTGAACCCGGGAGGGAGAGGTTACAGTTAGCTGAGATTGAGCCAAAAAAAAAAAAAAAAAAAAAAACAAACAAACCACAGTGCCCGTGGCCACATGAAATCTCATGAATTCAACACCAAAGGTATGGAAGTGGTCTACTTGCCCCCAGACACAGTGTCTCTATCTTGACATAGGCCTCTAGATCAAAGGGTCACACAGAACTTTTAAGGCTCACCACACATGGTACTCTATGGAAAGGATTGTCAACTCTGTGAAAGAGAACGCTGATAGAAATCAGGAAAGTCTGGAAGGATCACACCCTTGAAGGTGCCGTCAGTGTTACAGAAATAACCATGAAAGTCAGCAAGCTTGAAACAATAAATTCCTGCTGGGGAAAACTGTCCAGATGTTTTGCATGACTTACAGGATTTATGATAAGTACCATCAAGAAAGTCATGAAAGAGGGCTGGGCATGGTGGCTCATCCCTGTAATCCCAGCACTTTGGGAGACCCAGGCTGGCAGATCACCTTAGGTCAGGAGTTCGAGAGCAGCCTGGCCAACATGGCGAAACCCTGTCTCTACTAAAAATACAAAAATTATCCAGAAGTGGTGATGCCTGTAATCCCAGCTACTTGGGAGGCTGAGGCATGAGAATCGCTTGAGCCTGGAAGGCAGAGTTTCAGTGAGCCGAGATCATGCCACTGCATTCCAGCTTGGGCAACAGAGTGAGACTTGTCTCAAAAAAAAAAAAATAAATAAATAAATAAATAAAGAAGTTGTAGATATGGCAAAAAAGATGAGAAGTGAAGCATTTCAAGATACCGATTTTGGAGAAATTCAAGAATTAATAGATACCACAGCAGAGAAGTTAAGAGAAGACAGATTGATGGAGCTCAGTGCTTCCAAACCAGTGCCAGATGATGAGGAAGAAGATATAGAAGAAACAGTGCCAGAAGATTGATGTTAGACAGTCTGCCAGAAAGCTTCCAATTGTTTAAGACTGCTTTTGACTTCTTTTAAACATAGATCTTTCTATAATACTGGCACTGAAATGAAAGCAAATGGTGGAAGAAGGATTGGTACTGTATAGAAACATTTTTAGAGAAATTTGCAAAAATGTCAGAGAGAAAGTACAGTATATTTCCATAAAGTTATACTGAGCATGCCTGCCTCTATTGCCTTCCTTTCTACTCTCCTCCACTTCCTCTGTCTCTGTTAACCCTGAGGGAGATGACCAACCCCTCCTATTCTTCCTCTTCCTTAGCCTACTCACTGTGAAGACAAGGATGAAAACTTTTTTTGTTTTGGAGACAGAATTTCACTGTTGTTGCCCAGGCTGGAGTGCGGTGGTGTGATCTTGGCTCACTACAACCTCCACCTCCCGGGTTTAAGCAATTCTTCTGCCTCAGCCTCCCCAGTAGCTGGGATTACAGGTGCCCACCACCACTCCCGGCTAATTTTTTGTATTTTTAGTAGAGATGGGGTTTCACCATGTTGGCCAGGCTGGTCTAGAACTCCTGACCTCAGGTGATCCACCCGCCTCAGCCTCCCGAAGTGCTGGGATTACAGGCCTGAGCTACCCCGCCCAGCAGGATGAAGACTTTTTTGATGATCCACTTCCATTAATAGATAGTAAATATATTTTCTCTTCTGTGTATTCTAAGAATATAGTATATAAAACATATACAAAATATGTGTTAACTGACTGTTTATTTTAACAGTAAGCCTTCTGGCCAGCAGTAAGCTATTAGCAGTAAAGTTTTTGGGTGAGTCAAAAGTTGTAAATGGTGGCTCATGCCTGTATTCCCTCCCAGCAGTTTGAGAGGCCGAGGCAGACGGATCTCTTGAGGGCAGGCACGCAAGACCAGCCTGGGCAACATGGCAAAACCCCATCTCTACTAAATATACAAAAATTAACCAGGTGTGGTGGAGACTGCAGTGAGCTGAGATTGTGCCACTGTACTCTAGCCTGGACAACAGAGCGAGACTCTGTCAAAAACAAAACAAAACAACCCCCAAAACTCATACTATACATTTTTTTGTTTTTGTTTTTTTGTTTTGGTGGAGATAGGGTCTCACTTTGTCACCCAGGCTGGAGTGGAGTGCAGTGGTGTGGTCACAACTGACAGCATCCTTGACCTCCTGGGCTCAAGCTATCTTCCCATTTCAGTCTCCCCAGCAACTGGGACTATAGGTGCTTTTCACCAAGCTCAGTTAATTTTTGTATTATTATTATTATTATTATTATTTTTGAGACAGAATTTTGCTCTTGTTGCTTGAGTGCAATGGCTTGATCTTGGCTCACTGCAACCTCTGCCTCCCAGGTTCAAGCAATTCTGCTGCAGCCTCCCAAGTAGCTGGGATTACAGGCATGCACCACCACACCCAGCTAATTTTGTATTTTCAGTAGAGACAGGATTTCTCCGTGTTGGGTTAGGCTGGTCTCGAATGCCCGACCTCAGGTGATCTGCCTGCCTCGGCCTCCCAAAGTACTGAGATTACAGGCGTGAGCCACTGCGCCTGACCAATTTTGGTATTTTTTGTAGAGACAGGGTTTTGCCATGTTGCCCAGGCTGGTCTCAAACTCCTGGGCTCAAGTGGTATGCCCACCTTGACCTCCCAAAGTGCTGGGATTACTCAGTCTATATGTGGATTTTGACTTCATTGGGGGACAGGGGACTCAGCACCCCTACCCTCCACATTGTTCAAGGGTCAACTGTACTTTTCTCCTTTCAATTTTTATGTCGTTTATTTTTCTTTCCTAATTGCAGTGTCTAGGGCCTCTAGTACAGTGTCGAATATAAGTTTTAAGTTTGGGCATTTTTGCCTTGTTCTGCTTCATAGGGAGGAAGCATTCAGTCTTTTACCATAATTAGCTACAGTATTTTCATAGACATCCTTTATTCTTGATTTGCTGAGTTTTAAAAATAAAATAGCTATTGCATTTTAGCAAATGCTTTTTAAACATATGTTGAAATGATCATATGATTTTTTGCCTTTATTCTGTTAATGTTGGCAAGTTATAATTGATTTTTCCAATGTTAAACCATCTTACATTTGTGGGATAAGCCCTGTATTTTAGTGGTCGATTATCCTTTCTATATTGTGGACTCCAATTTGCTAGTCTTTGTATTTTTTTTTCTTTGTAAAGTATTTTTATATGTACATTCCTGAGGAGGATTAATTTATAGTTTTCTTGTAATTTCTTAGTCTAGTTTTGATTGCCTCAGAATGAGTTGGTACTTATTGCCTTCTCTTTTGTTTTTTAGAAAAGCGTATAAGGCCGGACGTGATAGCTCATACCTGTAATCCTAGCACTTCGGGAAGCTGAGGCAGGTGGACTGCTTGAACTCAGGAGTTTGAGACCAGCCTGGGCAACATGACGAAACCCTGTCTCCACAAAAAATACAAAAAATTAGCTGGGCATTATGGCATATGCCTGTAGTCCCAGCTGCTTGGGAGGCTGAGGTGGGAGGATCACCTGAGCATAGAAGGTCAAGGCTGCAGTGAGCTATGATGGCTCCACTCTACTCCAGCTTGCATGAAAGAGTGAGATTCTGTCTCAAAAGAAAAAAGTTTGTGTAGAATTGATGTTATTATTATTTTTAGAGCCAGGGCCTCGCTCTGTCACCCAAGCTAGAATGCAGTGGTGCCATCATAGCTCACCGCAGTCTTGAATTATTTTGTTTAAAGGCTCCTTCCACTTCAGTCTCCAGAGTATCTAGGACTATAAGTGTGTGCCACCAAGCCCAGCTAATAATAATAATAATATCATTATTTTTGAGAGGGAGTCTTGCTCTGTTGCCCAGGCTGGAGTGCAGTGGCGTGATCTCGGCTCACTGCAACCGCCGCCTTCTGGGTTCAAGTGATTCTTGTGCCTCAGCCTCCCCAGTAGCTGGGATTACAGGCGCGGCACCACAACCCGGCTAATTTTTGTATTTTTTAGTGGAGACGAGGTTTCACCATGTTGGCCAGGCTGGTCTCGAACTCCTGATCTCATGGTCCGCCCGCCTCAGACTCCCAAAGTGTTGGGATTACAGGCGTGAGCCACCAGGCCTGGACTATTTTTTTTTTTTTTTTTTTAAATAGAGACAGGATCTTGCTGTGTTGCCTAGGCTAATCTTGAACTCCTGGTCTCAGGTTATCCTTCTACTTTGGCCTCTCAAAATACTGGGATTATAGGTGTAAGCTACCATACCCAGCCCTGTCTTTTTTTTTTTCCCCTTAAATGTTTGATATTATTTAAATTGTGTGGCTAGAAGCTATGTTGAAATGGGCCAATGAATGACAGATATATAAGGAAATAGATAGCTAGGATGGACAACTTTGAGAATTCTGTCTATTAAGAGAAGAGAGGATAGTTACTGGAGAGGTGTAAAGATTGAATCAGGCATTAAAGAAATACCGTTGTTTTCTTGACTGACATTATGTCTTTTAAGTTAGCTTCTTTGTTACTTAATTGTATTGCAGATACATCAAGAAATCTGGAATTTCATGAAATACATAGCACTGGGAATGAACCGCCTTTGCTGATTATGATTGGCTACAGCGATGGAATGCAGGTCTGGAGTGTCCCTGTAAGTACACATGTGGTTGAATACCTAAAACATTATACTTCCCAGCATGTTAGCTTATGTGAAATCTGTAGATACTTTTTTTTTTGGGAGACAGAGTCTCATTCTGTTGCCCAGGCTGGAGTGCCGTGGCGCGATCTCGGCTCACTGCAAGCTCTGCCTCCCGGGTTCGCGCCATTCTCCTGCCTCAGCCTCCCATGTAGCTGGGATTACAGGCACCCACCACCATGCCTGGCTAATTTTTTGTATTTTTAGTAGAGATGGGGTTTCACCTTGTTAGCCAGGATGGTCTCGATCTCCTGACCTTGTCATCCGCTCGCCCCTGCCTCCCAAAGTGCTGGGATTACAGGTGTGAGCCACTGTGCCTGGCCAACATTTTTTAAGTTAAAAAAATGTTTATTTTTTGATAAGTCACTTCTGATGAAGTTTGGTCTTCCATTCTGTTCTTTTTTTTTTTTTGAGACAGGGTCTCTGTCACCCAGGCTCGAGGGCAGTGGCATGATTGTAACTCACTCTGTCCTCTAGTGATCCTCCCGCCTCAGTCTCTGGAGTAGTTGGGACTACAGGCACGTGCTACCACACCCAGCTAATTTTTAATACTTTTAAATGGACACAGGGGCCTGTTGTGTTGCCCAGGCTGGTCTTGAACTCCTGGGCTCAAGTAATCCTCCTACTTGGCCTCCTAAAGTGTGGGCGTTACAGGCATGAGCCACTGTGCCTGGCCAATTCTGTTTTTATAATTATCGTATTACTAAGTATCTAAGATGTGGGATTTTTTTTTTAACTTGGCTTTACTTTGCAGAGGTAGAAGAATCATGCTGGTATGTCATGAAATTAGAAGTGTTCTTTTTCTTTTGCCTTTTGGGAAGTGTAGTTGACATGTTTCAAGGTCTTGCAGTGTTCTTTGCAATTTTCGTATTGTTCCAAAGGCATGGAGAAAGTACTTAAAATTTGGTAGTTTTTTTTTTTTCTTACTGAGAGGAATATTTCTAGGTTGTAATAAAACAAAAGGGTTTTGTAAATGTAAATTTTTCTTATTAATAGAGACTACATTTTGCTTCATTATGCTGTTTGTTGACAGAATTGAAGACAAAGAGGAAGCTATACGTTTAACAAGAGGGTTGAGCCTGTGTGATTAGGGGTGTTGACTGGATTGAACACATTCCTTTCATGGTACTCAGGTTGCTTTAACTGCTCACTTGTTTTGGTTATAATTAGAGGTATTACTTTTAATAGTTTAAAGTTAATTTCTGTTTATCTTTGAGTGCTTAAGGTCTTTAGTCTTTATTCCTCTTTATGCCTAGATTGTATTTTGAGAGGCTTGAATATTTTTTTTTTGAGACGGAATCTTGCTCTGTCGCCTAGGCTGGAGTGCAGTGGTGCGATCTTGGCTCACTGCAAGCTCTGCCTCCCAGGTTCGCGCCATTTTCCTGCCTCAGCCTCCTGAGTAGCTGGGACTACACGCGCCTGCCACCATGCTCGGCTAATTTTTTGTATTTTTAGTAGAGATGGGGTTTCACTGTGTTAGCCAGGATGGTCTCCATCTCCTGACCTTGTGATCTGCCTGCCTCGGCCTCCCAGAGTGCTGGGATTATGGGTGTGAGCCACCGCACCCAGCATAAATTTTTTAATGGAATTTTCTTTGGCCATTTGTATATTGTTGTAGTACTGCTACTTCATGAATTAGGGCCTGGTGTAGAGGCTCACGCTTGTAATCCCAGCACTTTGGGAGGCTGAGGCAGGAAGATCACTTGAGGCCAGCAGTTCGAGACTAACCTGGGCAACATAGTGAGACCGGGTGGGCACGGTGGCTCATACCTGTAATCCCAGTACTTTGGGAGGCCAAGGCAGGCAGATCATTTGAGTTCAGGAGTTTGAGACCAGCCTGACTGACATGGTGAAACCTCATCTCTACTAAAAATACAAAAAAAATTAGTTGGGCGTGATGGCGCATGTCTGTACTCCCAGCTACTCAGGAGGCTGAGGCAGGAGAATTGCTTGAACCCGGGAGGCGGTGGTTACAGTGAGCCAAGATTGCACCACTGCACTCCAGCTTGGGCGACAGAGCGAGACTCTGTCTCAAAACAAAATAGAACAAAACAAACAAACAAACAAAAACATGTAGTGAGACCTTGTCTCTACAAAAAATTTTGAAAATTAGCCAGGTGTAGTGGCATGCACCTGTGGTTCCAGCTCCTTGGGAGGATGAGGCAGGAGGATTGCCTGAGTCTGGGAGGTTGAAGCTGCAGTGAGCCATGATTATGCCACTGCACTCCAGCCTGGGTGACAAAGTGAAACCTTGTCTCAGGAAAAAAAAAAAAAAAAAAAAGACAATATGAGAAAATAAGCTTCTTATGTTTCATTGATTGAGCTCTAATTATGGTCAAAGAGGTTTATATACATATTATCTCATCTAATGTAGAAGTTACCTTGTTTTACAGGTGGTAAGGTCACACTGCTTTTAAGAGGTGGAACTAGAATTTTAACCTAGTTATGTCTGAATTCAAATTCAAATCCCATGGTCTAAGAGCTATACTTCATCACTTTTCAAATGTGATTGCTAAAGATATGACATGTGAGTAGTTTTGTAGTTTAGGTTCAGTTTTTGTGGAGGTGAAGGGAATTTTCCCTTCTCCCTCTGAAATAAATTGACAGTAGATTAACAGGAAGAAAAAGCATATACACATGCACGAGAGCCACATAAAATGAGACTCAAAGAAGGGCCAGATGGCAGAAGCTTACATAGTGCTGTCTTCACAGGGGAGAAGGAGAAGGAGGAATGTAGTCAATTTTGAGAGTTAGTAAGTCATTCTCAAGAAAGTTGAAGGGGCCCAAAGAGCAGAAAATCGTTTCTAAGTGATTCTCTTGGAAATGGGACCTGCGCAGAGATGATAGCCTGTGACAAAGTCTGTCTAGGTGTGATGTCATTTCTCAGTTTTCCTTCCTGCAATTTGAGATTAATCTTCTCTGGTTGAAGAAATTTCAGAGAGGGGAGAGGGAGGCAATTGTGTTCCTTGTAGAAGAGCTTCAGGAAAGGGAACTTTAGAGAGTTCCACCTTGTGCTTGTGAGGAGAAGCAGGAGAAGAACATCAGAAAGTCCTTGGTTCTGAGGGCTTCTGGGGCCTCTTAATTTCCTATAGCTCAAAATGCTCCGCATGCTAAAATGCCAGAATTTGGAATATCGTTTTTTGAGCCCCAGTGTTTTCATTTGTAAAAGATTAAGATATACCTTCAAATACTTATAATTATGTTTTATGTTTCACTCTGTTAGCCATTATTGTGTTGGAACCCTTCTGAAACTTACAACCATTATTCATTCAATGAGCATATGCTAGACAGTGGGGAGCCTGTTTGCTAACCTGAAAAAAAAAGTGACTTTCATGGATCTTTATAGTCTGTAATTCATACAGTTGGCCCTCTATGTATGTGTTTTACACATCTGCAGATTCGACCAACTATGGATTGAAAATATTTGGAATTAAAAAAAAGGATGGTTGTGTCTGTACTGAAGACATATAGAGTTTTCTTTCTTGTCATTATTTCCTAAACAATGCAGTGTAACAATTATTTACATAGCATTTACATTGTACTAGGTATTATAAGTAATTAAGAGATGATTTAAAGTATATGAGAGGATGTGTAAAGGTTGTATGCAAATACTGTGCCATTTTATGTAAAGTACTTGAGCATCATGGACTTTGGTATCCATGGGTGGTTTGTGGAACCAATCCCCCACAGATGCTGAGGGACAATTGTATTTGCATTTGCTTTTCTTTTTTTTGGAGTGCAGTGGGGGTGATCTCAGCGCACTGCAACCTCTGCCTCCTGGGTTCAAGTGATTTTCATGTCTTAGCCCCCTGAGTAGCTGGGACTACAGGTGTGAGCCACCATGCCAGGCTAATTTTTGTATTTTTTTTTTTAGTAGAGATGGGGTTTCACCATGTTGGCCAGGTTGGTTTTGAACGTCTGACCTCAAGTGATTGACCTGCCTTGGCCTCCCAGAGTGCTGGGATTACAGGTGTGAGCAACCGTGCCTGGCCTGCTTTTTAAAAATAGAGATGATATCTCACTATGTTGCCCAGATTGGTCTTGAACTCCTGGCCTCAGGCCATCCTCCTGCTGTGGCTTACCAAACCACTGGGATTACAGATGTGAGCCATTATGCCTGGCTATGTCTTTGCTTTTGAGTAAGTATAGGTGGGCAGAAAATCAACCCCTGTGCAAACCTTAGCTTAGTTTTTGCTTCTAGTATATGCTCAGGACTCCCTCTTGTTGAGTATAATACAACTGTCCCACGGTGGCTCATGTCTGTAATCCCAGCACTTTGGAGGCCAAGGCAAGCAGGTTACTTGAGGTCAAGAGTTTGAGACCATCCTGGCCAACATGGTGAAACTCCATCTTTACTAAAAGTACAAAAATTAGCCAGGGATGGTAGTGGGCACCTGTAATCCCAGCTACTCGGGAGGCTGAGGCAGGAAAATGGCTTGAGCCCAGGAGGCGGAAGTTGCAGTGAGCCGAGATTGCGCCACTGCGCTCTTGCCTGGGTAACAGAGTGAGACTGTGTCTCAAAAAGAAAGACAAAACTGTCCCACCTGGGAGTCTCAGGTTAAGAAAATAAGCATATCCTGGTTAAACATTTAAAAAAATTGTCTATTGAAGTGCATAGATGTGAATGGAACTTAGATGATGTCTAGGAATATCGTTAATTAGAGTCAGCTCAAAAGCAGAACTGTGCAGTAGTTTATTCCCCAATCTCTACTGCTTTGTATATGACACCAGCTTTCCTAGCTTTCCTGAGCTGTCAGATCCCTTCTTTAAACACACCAGATTTGACATAGAAAAATTGTTATGTTGGCGTTCCAGATAAACAACCCCTTTTTCCAACCATCCCTTTAATGTTACTGACTCTTTTTTGGTGAGGTAAGTGTAAGCTTTCTTGCTTAAAATTCTTAATTAAAAAAATCAGAATTATCTTTGTATATATTTTAAAAACCAAATAGTGG